TGGGTTTTCGTCCACCTTTTCGCAGATCTCTTTAAAGCAGCTGGTTTAGCTGCTTTTGATGGCTTTTTTAAGGTCACTTCGCTTCTTTTTGAAGGCTTCGCGCAGCACCGCATATTCCATCGAGCCACGGTTCCTTTGACACAACCGCCTCGCCTTGTGACACTCACCCTTATGGCCTGGATTTTTTCGTTCCACCAGTACGCCGGCTGCCTGAATGAGCCGTGTTTTCTCCTGCACATAGCAGCGTCGCAGGCTTTACTGATGTGCCTCACCAGTGTTTTAGCCTGGAGCTCAGTGGCCATTTCCTCGTCCAGCACGAGTCTGAAGAGCTCTTCATCCAGAGTCTCTACCTTCCAACCCCCCGTTTGCGCCTTCCTGGTGATCGCCCTTTTTCGGCTCTGTGCTCAATTCCCTAGCTCCATCATGATTGCCAGATGGTCACTGTTCGTATAGAGGTCAGACACCTTCCAGCGCGCTGAGCGCACCAAGGAACTACTAGCGAAAATAATGTCAATCACCGAGCCTCGACCATTCTTCTCAAAGGTATTTTTGTTCCCCGAGTTCAGAAGCACCGCATCAAGTAGCGAAAACGCCTTTAGTAGTGCATCTTACTTACTCTGCACACAACCCATCCTACCTTTAGTTTCTGCGCTTCAAGTAATCTTGCTTCCTGTGCTGGGAGATTTACCACCGCGGTTTGTGTGCCCGCATACGCCGCCCTGATGCTTTCTATCGCATTTTCGTTAAGGTGGTTTAGCTCCTTTATCTGGTTGCGGATGACCTCGGCAATATCCTCCTTGGTGGTAATCTCGTTCAGGTCACGGATTTCTACCATCGTCTCGTGTTTTAGGGCTCTGATCTGTGCCTGGTTCCCTAGAAGCCTACCTATTTCGCTCTTGAATTCGCCCGTGTCTTTCATTTGCGTCTCCTCAAGCTGCAGCAATATTTCACCCTTGACCGTCTTTCTGATGCGTGATATGCTGTCGCCGAGTTTCTGCAGTGCCTCTTCCTTTTTAACGGCCCTTTGTATATCGCTGTAGGTCATATCTCCTGTCCGAGCTATAATTATAGCATCTGGCCGTGATGGTGGTTTATATACAATCTTTTTTTCGCCATGTGACCTGCGTTGGACCACTCTCCATTATCCTTCTTTCTCCACCTCCTTCTCCTTAATCTTGCCGGAATTTTCGTTTGACGCCACCTTTCCAGACATTGGCAAAGGGTGCGGTTTTTGTGACTTTAAGTCAATGATGGGCAAAACGCTACTCGCGAGTAGCGTCTGCGTCGCAGCGCTTACTGCCATCCCTAAATTGGCGCGTCAAGCGCCAAACAACTGTC